TGTGCAAAACCGCGGCCTCATCCAGCAGAGCTTCCCTGTGCTTCCCTTCCAGGTTTTATGCCGGAGGCTCCGAGAGGAGCGGGCAGCAGATCGTCGGCCCCCCGAGGAAGAAGAGTCCCAACGAGCTGGTGGAAGATCTCTTCAAAGGAGCGAAGGAGCACGGAGCCGTGGCCGTGGACCGGACGGCCAAGAGCGGCGGCGAGACCAGCAAGCCCAAAGTGAGGAGTGATGAGTTCGTTTGTTCCTTCCTTCCCCGTTTCAGTTGTTCCTTGATGGTGGGATCTGCTCATTGCTGCCCCCGCTCTGTAGGGCTGCTGAGCCCTGGGATTTTCTTAGAACAGCTGAGTCTGGCCACCAGATACTGCAGCTCTAGCTGCAGTGTCTCAGTAACAAGAAAAGCCCCTTAGTTGTGTCAGCAAGTTCAAGGTGATCGCTGTGTCTGCGGAGTAATGTGTGTTGCTGCTGCTATGAAGCCCCTGTTTATCCAGAGCAGGATTGGGGAATGAAGCTGTTTCTTGGCTATTTATCTTTCTTTGATGCTCTCTTGCAGCCATTTGCAGGGGGAGGCTATCGCCTTGGGGCTACTCCAGAGGAGGAGTCTGCCTACGTGGCTGGAGAGAGGAGGCAGAGCTCGGCGCAGGATGTGAGTATCCCTTGTTCTGTGAGTGTCACCTGAGCCATTTCTGTCCTTCAGCTGCGATGCTTGAGAGCACAGAGTTATAAAGCCTGATGGGGACCTCTTCTGATAGGTGCTTGGGTCAAATAACTTCCTGATGACCTTCTAATGAAGAACCTGGGTGTTCCTTAGTCACAGGAATCCTGCTGTCAACCTCTTCAATATATCAATTATCCAAACAGCGAGCAAAGAGCGCTGGGCAGTGAAGCCCTCATCTGCTGGGGGCTCGTGGGGCTTAGTGTGCTGGTATGAGCTGCTCACTGCTTTGGCTCGGGAGCAAATGTCCCGTCTGACCCTGTCTTGGGCTCCTTGCTGAACACGCTCCTGATTCCACAGCCGTGTTTATCAAAGACCAGGCAGTGCTGTCACCTTCTAGGAATTCCTGTGAATCACAGAGCCAATCCCTATTTTGCTCTCCACGTTAATTGCTCTGACCCAGAGGAGCCTTGCTGGGACCTGGCTGCAGCTTGCAACCTGCCTGCTGCTCGGCAGCTCTGCACTTTGTTCCGACCGCTGTTCTTGCTAAGGTGCTGCAGCAGCTGACTGTTGTGTTGGGTGGTTGCAGGTGCACGTTGTGCTGAAGCTGTGGGAGAACTGAGGAGCTACCAAGATCCGTCCAATGCCCAGTTTCTGGATGATATCCGCAGAGGGTGAGTGGGGGGAGAGAGAAAAGGTGAAAGGAAGGTGTTTGTGGAACCAGCACTGTTGCACTTGCCCTTTCTTAGGAGGGTTTCCAGCCTGGAACCTGTTGGTGAGGCTGGATTTGAAGACTCACTTTAGATAAATAGGGAAGTAGCTTTGGTTTGTGTGGGATGTTGAGCGTTTGAAGTGAACAAACAGGCTTTTTGTATTGGAGGTGACAATTTCTGATGTGTCACAAAAAGACCTGTTGGCCCAGGCTAGAGCCTGGGTGAGGTAACCTTTAATTTGTGTCAGGTGGAAGGTATGTGTCTGCTCTTAATTGAGCACGAATAGGCCGTGATTCCCGCTGGCTCGGAGGCCTGTCCCCGCGCTCCGCAGCCCGCTCCAGCTTCCCTGCGACGCTCTCCCTTGCAGGGAGGTCCCGGCGGAGCTGCGCAGGTTAGCGCGGGGCGGGCAGGTGAACCTGGACATGGAGGATCACCGCGACGAGGACTACGTGAAACCTAAAAGTGTCTTCAAAGCTTTTACCGGAGAAGGCCAGAAGCTGGGCAGGTGAGAGAGCAGCAGCCCTGCATCGGTGTTTCGGGGTCTGTGAAAGCCCCTTGAGAATTTGGGGGGGATGAGCCTGTCGATCCCTCCTTCCGAGGAGAAGCTGCGTGGTTGGGGGGTGCCCACAGAGGACGTGGGGCGTGCGGCTGTGCCGTGGGGTGACTCAGCCCTGCGTGGCAGGAGGCTGCAGCTCTGCCATGAGGTCACGGGCAAGGGTGTTTTTCCTAGTCATCAGATGCTGTTCCTGTCGGTGAGGGAGTAGCCGAGAGCTCCCGTGGGAGGCAGTGGCAGTGAAACCCTAGAGAGGTGCCTGCTGTGACCTTAGCTGGTCCCCACAATCTTAATGCAGCACCTTTCTAGCTTGCAGCATGTCCCTGGACTGGGAGCCCTGGCAGTCGGGCCCTGCAGGCCACAGGCTCTTGTGCCTGGCCGTGGCCCTGTGCTCAGCAGCTCCTCTGGGTGGTAACGACCCTCCTCGTGTCCTTCTCTCCTCAGCACTGTCCCCCAGGTGATGGGCACCAGCTCACCCGCCCAGCAGGCAGAGAACGAAGCCAAAGCCAGTTCTGCCATCAGCATTGATGAGTCGGAGCCCATCACCAACATCCAGATCCGTCTCGCTGACGGCGGGCGACTGGTCCAGAAATTTAACCACAATCACAGGTACAAAGGCAACAGGAAACACAGGTTACTAACTGGGAAGGCCTGAATGACACTGCGAACTGTGCACAGCTGCAGCAGATGTTAAAAGCCTGGCTGGCCTGCTAAAGGGAGCTCTGGGCATCCTTCTGGATAGGTGAATAGGAACAAACTTATTGTGGGGTTTTAAGGCAGCTGTTAACTCTTAGAAAGATAGGATTTGCTTTGCAGATAGTGATGGACTGTAGCTGGTGATAACTGTATCTAGGAGCTTCAGTGTTAGGGAAAGTTACACTGATAATGTCAGCTGTAGAAAATGGAGCTAGTCTAAGAACTATAGAAGTTGTGATGTAATTGGGAGCTTGATTCCGCTGTTCTGACTCTGAAGTGAAACTTTTGTACCAGGCTGTTCCCTGTGCGGCCCCGAGCTCAGAGAACGCCTGTAAAGCAGTTCCCTCCCCTTGGCTGAGCCAGGCTGGCTCTGTAGCCCATGGCTTCATCAGCCTTGTGTCCCCAAGTTGTTCTCCTCCAGTTGATTCTGGAGAGCCTGGGCATCCTCCAGGGCTCCGAGAACAGGAGAAGGAAGCCTCCTAAAGGGTTACAACCCCCCTCCTGCAGGCATCTTCTACAGGAAACGGATCCAGTGTTGCTGTTGCAGCTACTCTAGGGGCTGGCATCATCTAGGTTTCTAGCTGAGGGGGCAGATTGCCTGGCCACGGCCTCTGCTGTTAGCTGGGAAGCAAGTGCAGTCACTGCAGGATTGTGTGTTCTGGGAAGGGTGAGTTCAGGCTCTCGCCGTGCACTTCTGCAGAGCGTGAACTAACAGCCCCAACCTGGTGTGTTCGATCCCTTCGCGCAGGATCCGCGACATCCGGCTCTTCATAGTGGACGCGCGGCCGGCGATGGCTGCCACCAGCTTCGTCCTCATGACCACCTTCCCCAACAAGGAGCTGACGGATGAGAACCAAACCCTGAAGGAAGCCAACCTGCTCAACGCCGTCATCGTGCAGCGGTTGATATAGAGGAACCCACCTGTGGCCAGGCGCCCGCCCGCCAGGCGCGTGTCGTCCCGTCCTGCGCACCACGGGTCACATCTCCTCGTAGCGCTGGGTTCTTAGGTCTTGGTTGGACTTTTTTTCTCTTTAGTTGCATTTCCCATGTTTTTTTTTTTTTTTTTGGTGATGATCAGTGGACTCTAAAATAAATAAACAAAAGAAACCAGTTTTGAAAGGAGCTGCAGCCTGTTGCGCCCCAAATTCTCCCCTGGGAGATTAGTTACCTTGGTGGATTGCATTAATGCCTTTTTTAGAGGGGAGGAAGGCAAAGGGGAAGGGAGCGGTTTCCATCCATGCCAATTAACCGCTTACAGCAATCCGTTACTCTTCCCTCTCCTCCAAGGGCTGCTGCAAAACACTCTGTTTTCACACATCAAGGATTCTGCACGAGAGGGGCTGGTCTGACCCCCCAGGATCATGGGGACATGCCTGTGAGCGCCTTATGGGGCGCCTCTTTGACGCAGCTGTTGTTTAGAGTTGGGGGAGAGCTTGGATGTGTCTTCCTGGAGAGCAAGTTCTGCCTGTCCTTCCCTCTGCAGCACTCGTGGGGTTTCGGTGCAGTTTCCCTTCCTCTGTCTGTGCTTTCTCCAGCAGCCCAGGTGGGCTGTTGGCAGCTTTAACTTGCTCTGTTGATTTTCTTTGAGAAACACAACTTGCTGCAAGAAGGTGCAAGGCTGAAGCAGTGTGGAGTGGTTGAAAGGCAGTGTTTCTTACTGGAAGCAGAAAGGTTGTGTTTTAAAAGATGAATTAGCAAGATGTTGGGAGCAGCTCAGGTGAAGAATTTGAGGCTGTAGGATGCTTTATTTCCTCTCTGCAGCTGAGTGCTGACAGGGCAGGACAAGAACTTCAGAGAGGTTGTGGAGTCTCCTCTGGAGATCTTCCAAACCTTCCTGGATGCAACCAGGTGCCATGTGCTCCAGGTGTCCCTGCGGGAGCGCAGCAGGTTGGGCTGGATGATCCCTAGAGGTCCCTTCCAACCTCAACCATTCTGGGATTCTCTGACACCTGGAATTCTCCAGCTTTGGTCTGTTCCACTGTTTGTGTGTTGGCCTCGGGTCTCTGTTTCTTTCCTTCGAGCAGAATCCTGATGGGAATTCATTGCTGCTGGCCCTGGCTCTGCTCAGGCACCACGTAGGGCTGTGGTGCTTGGCACCCACCGCAGGGGCCTCGTCCCATGTCCCAGCAGGACCAGGGGCTGCTCCGGGCACCGCGGAGCAGCGACTGCACCAAGCCCAGACCCCCAACGAGAGGGGCCACCTCTGCCCCTGGCTCCCAGCCCTGTCCCCGCAGGGTCACCCCACGCGAGCTCTGCAGCCCCCACGTCCTCCCCTGGCGTGAGCAGAGCCCAGACCCACGCGGGCTGGGCAGGGCCCGCAGGTCGGACAGGTTCAGCACGAGGAACTCGCTTCGCCGGGTGTACTAATATAACAGAGCTGCGGTAGGTACCACACTAAACACGGGCAATTTTTTATAGCAGTTTCTCTACTGAGAGTTGAATTAACTCATTTTTTTTCATTAACTGGATATATAATGTGCATAACAGCAAATTTGTAAATTATTGTGAAAACAATCATTAAAAACACGCAAAAGAGGAATGTGGCGTCTGACCTTCTCTGCTAGTGGCTGCCATCTGTCACTGTGGCTGGGCAATGCGTGTGACCACGTCTGCTCTTACTGCTGCTTCCTTGGGGCTCCCTGTCTGCAGCAACGGGAGATTGGAAAATTTGGGCAGCGTTTTTAAAGAGCTACTGGGTGAAGCTGGGGTCTGCCTGTGTCATCTGATGCTGTGTGCTATGGCCGTGGAGCTGTCTGAGATCTGAATTCCCCTCGAAGCTGAGAATACCTGGAGGACACCTGCTTTAAGTTTGCTCATTGGAGGAGGTCTTGCTTCCTTGTTTGCTGACCTTTCCCTCCCTGTGTGCCATTTGGGGACCTAGGACAACATCTTGCAGATTGCTGAACAGGATGTGGCCCTTGGGCCAGGAGGAAGGTTTATCTAACAGATAAGAAACCGTTTCTCTCTTGTTCCTGCCCTGCTTTGTTGGTGGTTTGGGAGGGATAAGGAGGTGTCCAGCTGGTGCTTGTGGTCTGGCCCCAGATTAAATGGGAATTGGCAGCTGGAAGGCCCCCGGTTCCCTTGAGGCTTCTGCTGCCCAGGTGCTGCTTGACGAGGGGAATTTCACGGCCAGGATTTCTATGGATGGCTCCCAGGGAGTGGGGTGGAAAGGCGGTAGCTCCTGGCGCTGTTTCTCTGCCGCAAAAAGGGAACGTTGTGCTCTAAGCCGGAGGGTGGCAGTGCTGCAGAGAAGCCGCCCTGCGCGGCGGCTCCTGCGGAAGGTGCTTCCCAGCTCTGCTCCTGCTGCTCGAGGCCCTTTTCCTCTGCGTCTTCCCTTGTTTTTGGAAGTAATGAGAAGTCCTTATCTCCCGGCGTGCGGATCAGCTCCGTGCTGCCGCCGGGCTATCTGAGCCGTGCCCGAGCGCAGCGCCGAGGCGCTATCGCGAACCGAGATAGCTCTATCTGGCCCAGGAGCCCGCAGCGCCGGCTGCGCTTACTGCTCCGCTCTGCTTGGCTCCCTCCATGCAAAGCAAACTGCAAAGCAAAAAAATAAAAAAAAATAAAAAAAAATAAAACCCAAAATCACCCGCTTCCAAAGACAGGGAAGGAATAATACCCCAAATCACGCAAAAGGAAGAAGTGGAAAGAGACGCCCCGCTTTCATGCAGGGTATGAGCAGCCTCTCTCATCACTTCCAGCTCCTGGGTGTTTCTTTCTGCCTTGCCCTGGCAGGAAGGTAAATGTGTGTTTCTGACTCTGCTCCAGTTTGGAATTACTGAGTTTGCTTGGCTTTCTCTGTAGTAAAATCTCCTTTTTTTGCCATTTTCTTTGTTCTAGCAGTCACAGTCTGAGATTGGGCTCCTCTCAAACTGATGTGTGTGCTCTGTTCAGCCAACAGAAAAGGGCCTCATCTGCCCTCTGTGCCTGGGAAACTATATTTTTTGAATTTTTCTTTTTTTGATCATTCTCTCGGAGCGCTATTCTGCCTGCCTTGTTCTTTCCCACCCTTTGGTGTTACGGCAGTGCTTGATGTCACATGCAAAAACTCGTTCCCTTTTTCCCCCTTTTTCACTCCCGCGCTGTTTCGCCCGTGGCTGATGTCACTGATGTCTTTCAGGGCATCCGAGCGTTTCTCTTTGAACACTGTCCTTCAGCAGCTTTGCTTTTCTCCGAGCGCTGCTTGTGTGGCTTCCTCAGATTGCCTTCGTTCGTGCACGGTTCATTGTTTCCTCTTCCTTTTCACGTGTCCTGCTGGCTCCGATCTAGCTCCTGTGCCTCCTGATAGCACTTCCTCACACACGGCTGTTTTGCACCGTTTCCTGTGAATTTTCCTCCCATCCGTAACACTGTCTTTGCTATTGGCTGTTTCCTGGTCCGATCTGTTCTCCACGGGCAGGGGCTGCCTCCTCCGGGGGTATTTCTATGGCCAAGCTGTTTTTCCATGACGTCGGTGGAGGTGCACCCTTTTCCCGGTGTTCCTGCCCCTCCGGCCGCCTGTCCTTGCTGCTGTTTGTCACCCGCTGTGCGTGCGGGTCCCGCTCCGCTCGGAGGAGCAGCAGGGAGCAGCAGGCTGGGTGCCAGTTCTGGCCCAAATGCAGATGCAGCCGTGAGAAGGGACAGGGAGCAGGGAATCCCCTGGGCACCTGCAGCTACGGGAGGATGACTTCATCCTGCCCTGTTTTTTATTGATTGTTTATAAGCTAACAGGTGGATGTTTTTGTTGCTTTTTGCTATAATCAGTCATATCTGACTTGGTCTTTGCTTCTTCGTGTGGGATGATAATAAATCAGTCAGGAACTAGTAAGCGGCCCTTGTGCTGCGGCTCCTTTTTGGGTGGGACTTGGGCTTCCCTGGTGCTTAGTTCGATCTAGCCGGAGGAAGGACCAAGCGCCTGACGTCACTCTGGTCCCGGGATGCTTTCCTGAAGCTCTGTTGGGTTTGGTTCCAAAGGCAGCTCTGCTCTAGAGCCTTGTCCCCTCTCATCGAGGAAAGGACCTTGAGTGATGTCTCTGACTGCAGTTACAGGAAAGCTGGCCCAAGGGATGGGTGTCCTGGCCCCAGAACGCCAGACGCTCGTGGTGTTCAGCAGAACCTCCCTGTGACACCTGCGCTGCTCCCTGCGCGAGGGCTGGCACCTCTTCGGGACGGTTGTTCTGTGTCGGCCCTTCCTGCCACCCCCTTACGGCTCCCACACGGTCCCGTCCCTGCTGGTGAACCGGGATGCTTATCAAGGCAGATCGGTGATTTTAAATGACCGCTTTAATGAAACAACAGCGCTGTTTTTCTTAGCAGGCTGTGGCTTTCCATGGGTGCTTTTATCAGAAACACTTGGCATCACCCGAGGATGCTGGTGGTCATCCGAGGAAAAGCTGGGAGGCAGGAGCCCTTGTTCCCGGCGGTGCCCATTGCCAAGTGCAGCTTCCTGGTGACCAGGCAGCAGCCCTGAGGAACGAGCAGCCTCTCGGCTCCCCTCGTACCTCGAGGCTCCAACCGGGCTCCTCAGAGCTGCGTGCCCTGTCCCCTGATCCAGGCTGGGATCAAACACGAGATCCAAGGGGAAGGCAACCAGCCACTGCCCACGCTCGGCTGCTGAACGAGGAGCTGGGTCTTCCCATCTACCATCCTCATCATGAGCGATGAGGTCCCAGGCAGCTTTTGGGTTGAGTTTAGCTGGTTCCAGTTTATTTCAGCAAGAAGCAAGCCTTAAAGTTCGTTGGGTTCTGCAGAGGATTCAGCTGCAAGGCTTGTTCTTGCTCTGGTAAATAACGCATGTGCTTCACCGCGTGGCACCAACGCGCAAGGACCCGGCGCTGCAACGCGCGACTCCGACCGCTGCCGGGGGCCGTCGGGACGCGGCTGCCGCTTCCAAAGTGCAGACCCGGCTCCCGCGCGGCTCTGACGGAACGAGCGAGCAAGCGTGCACCGCGTGCAGACCTGCGGGCGAGCTGGCAGAAGGAATCCCGCAGGCTTAACCAGGAGGAGCAAGAGAAATCCCTCCTAAATACTAAATACTAAGGAGGTTTTTCCAAAGCAATCCCTTATTTCCCAATTCGCACACTTCCACAGCTGGTTGAGTAGCACTGGCTATGCAATAGGCTGGCATCTTTGGC